CTCTGAGCTCTAATAACAAGGACACTTCTTCACTGCCAGGATCATTTATTCTATGATGGTTTCCTTCCCAGTAGGTCACCCAGGGCTTTCTTTATGTCTTTATTCCTCAGACTGTAGATGATAGGGTTTAGCATGGGCGTGACCACAGTGTACATCACTGAGGCTGTTGCACTTGAGTGTGAATTTTGACTGTCAAGAGCACTCAGATATACTCCTAGACTCGTACCATAAAATAAGGAGACAACTGAGAGATGGGAGGCACAGGTGGAAAAGGCTTTATACTTCCCCCGAGTTGATGACATTCTAAGTATGGAGGAAACAATCTGAGAGTAAGAGTAAAGGATCCCAGCGAGGGTTCCACCACCCAGCAGTCCAGCTGCAGAATACATTAACATGTCGTTAAGATAGGGATCAGAGCAGGAAAGGTGGACCACCATATTAAGTTCACAGTAAAAGTGGGGGATTTCGGTGTGCGTACAGAAGGACAGTTGCAACACCATTAAGCTATGCATCAAGGAATGCAGAGCACTCAGGATCCAGGACGTGAGCACCAGCAATACACAGAGCTTGGGGTTCATAATGACCGTGTAGTGCAGGGGGTGACAGATGGCCACATACCGGTCATAGGCCATCACGGTCAGAAGGAAGTCATCCAACCCTATAAAGAGTATGAAAAAGAACATCTGGGTGATGCAGCCTGCATAGGTCACGACCTTGCTCTGTGTCTGGATGTTCAGCAGCATCTTTGGGATGGTGGTGGAGGTGAAACAGATGTCTACGAAGGACAGGTTGGAGAGGAAGAAGTACATGGGGGTGTGCAGGTGGGAGTCTGAGATGGTGGCCAGGATGACGAGCAGGTTTCCACACACAGTGATCAGGTACATGGAGAGGAAGAGCCCAAATATGAGGGGCTCCAATTCTGGTTCCTTTGAAAGTCCAAGAAGAATAAATGCTGAAATTCTTGTACCATTCCCTGGTTTCATGTGATAGAGGTGGCTACAAGGAAAAAGAAAGGCAAAATGATGAATGTGAACTCAAAAGGGCATTATCCAGAGAGTTAAATGCTCCAATTTAAATTCTTTTTAGTCAGTTAAATTAAACTACACATATTATGCATTGTGCCTTTACTCTTCATACATCCTTCCCTTCTGGGATACCTCTGGCTGGGAATTCCTGTCCCACTCTCAACCTTTCCTAAAGAGGTCATGAATTCTGCAATTTTTTTCCTTTCATTTATTTACTTTTACATTTTTCCACAAACATTTACTTTACATATCCAAAAATTTTAGCTCATACTCCATAGATCTTGACAGTTTATAAGCAACTTTCAATATTTTAAAATACTGAATTTTAAAGATACTGTTCAGAATATTTCTTATAATTTTGTATAATTTTATAACTCTATAACAACAGAAGCAGTATGGTTTCAATTTTTTTTTTTTTGAGTGCAGACACTCGGTATATAAAATCAAACAGTGGCTCTCAACTGGGTGGAGGGGATTTTGACCCCAGTGACATCTGGTGATATCTGGAGCTATTTGAGTTTATCACGAGCTGAGAATTTTTTTCAACTTTTTGAGTAATATCATTTGAGAGCCCTTCCCCCTCTAGCACCCCATGTTTCAAGCATAATCTAGATAAAGAGTATAAGTCGCTGAGAAACTAAAATACAATTTATTGACAATCAGATAAGAGGATTTGATAGAGTTAACTAATCATGTAACACATAAGATATTAATAAGTGCTCTGAAGAACACGAAATTGTGATCCTATGAGAGAGTATACATGGGATGATTCTCTGGAGGTGGCAGGCAGAACTGCCAGGCAAGGTGAATTTTACTTTTTTGGTATTTGGTTTTCGTCATATGACACATATGCTCACTGAAGAGGAGAGAGACAGAGGGGAGGGAAGTTAGAAATCACTACACAAGAGGTGTGGTCACGTCACACGTTCTTCTTCTCCATTCTCCTCCTGGGATTTTGGGAACACTCACACACACACACACGCTCAACATGATTTTGATGCTGCCTGGTCCAAGACTTGAATGACAGTTAACCAAGTGGTGGTCCAGTGCCTTAAACACCATGCCACCAGCTGGCCCCACCAGATGACATTTGAACAGAGTCCTAGGTAAAGATGCGGTGGGATCTGTCAGGGGTTCTGGGGAAGTGAATGACCTGAAGAGGGAAAGAACAAGAGGGAAAAATATGAAAAATCAGGAGATGCTGAGGAATGAGGGGGCCTGCTGATACAGAAAGTTGAAGACACTGAGGGTTCCTCATGTGGCCGTGTGATAACGTGGATATAGTAGCAACATTTTATTTGCACACTTCCCATAGACATGTAAACTGCATTTTGAAGTGGCTCTTCTGTGCTCTGTTTTTAATGAAACATTAAAGATCTGTTAATTAAGCAGAAAGAGATGAGAAAGATGCACTGAGAGGGAAACAGATCTGAAAGATTCAAGTGGTTCAGAGAGATTAGAATAAATAATATCAGTAAGATGCTAGCACTGGTGAAATGCTCTTGAAGCCCTGAGCAAGTAATAATAAAAAATAAACCTGCAAAGATGACTTGCACACACACAAAAATAAAAAGACTAGCAAAGATCAAATTGCATTCAGCCTCAGCACTAATGAAATCATTACAATGAAAATCTCTATTTTTTTCCTGTGATCTGTCCAATAAAACTGTTTTTTTTTTTTTTTCATTTTATACTCAATATGTGGGAAAACACTGGGAAATGTCTGCTATGAACTGCTGTGGCTTGGTTGTATTTGGAAGCAATCCTTTGGTCTGATCTTTATAATAAATACAAAAACATGTTCAAATACATCTCATCTTAAAACTTCACTAAAAAAGGCCCACACTTCTAACCATATAACACAATCTTTAACCCCCTTACTGCAAATCTCCATGGACATGTTCTAATTTTAGTGGAATTATCTTACTTCTCCCAGTCCCTCGGTCTCATCCAATTTAAGTGAAATTCTTATCACATAATTGTCCACAATGATGCATGCTTTGCAGAGATTAAAAGACTCTTTTGTTTTATTTGTATTCCCATAGGATATGTGTGCTTGAGAGAGAGAGAGATAGGAGAGAGAGAGAGAGCGTGAGAGAAAATCTACCTCCAGGGGAGATGGCCAAACTGCAAGTCTGTCTCTTCCAGTTTCCTCTTGGGATTTTGGGCACACATGCACTTGAATCTGGTGGAATACACCAGGACTGGGAATGAAATGACACTTTTGACCATGTAAGATCCACCAACCTTAACCTCCATGTCACCACTGCCCCTAATATTTCACTTTTAACATATAAAATAAATTAATCACAAATTAATCCATTGGCCAACCAAATAAATATGATGATCTCTTGACTTTGGGCAAGGCCGGTTGTCCTTCAAGTGATGTCAGCAAACATTCTCCACTTCTATTTTCTCTGTGAATCTTTTCTGTAGTAGTTACTAGGCTCTAAGACTCACCTGGATGAGTTCTCTGACAAGAATGTCTCCATGTGAGGGTCTGAACTTCTCCCTGGATGATCGATGATAGAGACTGAAGTGTGGTCCCAAGACAAGACAGCATCAAAGTGCAAGCATTAATACCCTAGCCAGACTTAAGGCACGAAAAACAAAGCACAACACAACAAAATAACCAACCCACATTCAACCCAAGGTTACATCCTCTGAGGGACAGTAACAAAAAGATCCTTACATCTCCCTATATCTGATCATTTGACATTTTCCCATTGTTACTATAATTCCAGAGCACCTGATTTCCCTGTGGGTCACAGTCTGGCCAGAAAGGAAAATTTCCCTGCTGATTCTCTGTTCCCAAGAGACCAAGTAAGATGTCAGGTGAATGCAGTCTTTATTGTTCCTTCTTTGGGGACTCTGCTAACTACAGAGCTCTCATCTTGTTAGCACTTTTGCCAAAATTAAAATGTCCCTGGAGGCTGACATACTTTTCTTTGTTAGTTCTCTCTAAAGACAAAAGCATTGAATTTTCATGTGGATACAGCCCTGGGTATCTTCAGAAAGTTGCTATTCCTTTCCATGAAGGCAGAGAACCATGTTCATCTGATATACAACTTTGAGTAGTTACAACAGTCATGGACTTCATGATGCCTATGGCAAAGCTACTAGAACACAACTTAACAATTGTCATTAGTCCTCCATTTATGAAACCTTAGTCATCATAAAAATACATAAATAAAAAAAAGAAATTCTACCTCTACATGATGTTATCAATAAAATTATTGCAATCTTCAAAAAAACAAAAAAGAACATTTATTTCCTGTGGACTGATAGTAGAAGGTTATATGGACTGGGCCAGCCAGGTGGTGAGCTGGTTAAGGTGACTAGATCCCACATGATCGACTCTGCAGTTTGAGTCCCAGTGGGTTGGAAAACATGGTGGGCTTGCGCGTATGTGTGTATGTGTGCAAAATCCCAAGAAGAGAATGAAAGAGGAAGGATTTCAACTTGGGGGTGATTTCTCACTTTCTCTCTCTCTGGCTCTCCCTCTGAAATAAATGTGTATGCCTTATAATAAAACAAAGCAAAATAAAACAAAACAGAATGTACATGGGTTGCATCATTTAATTTTTAAATAAGTTCAATAGTATTAGGAATTTTTTCTACGATTGCATAAATGAAGCTCAGGAGAGTTAAGTGATGTGAAGAAAGCTACAAATCATGTAAGAGATGAGGTTTGGTGAGAAACCCACCAAGATGTTTACAGAAACAAAAAGCGTTTGTGAGACACAAAATGAAAAATTATCTGATGATAATAAAGTATATGGTAATATCTTTGACTTGATATGCACTGCATTCATGCTTGGAAAAAATGGATTGCATGCTGTAAAGATGTACAGTAATTAAATAAAATTTTAAGAAGAAAGGGAGAAATTGGAAGTTTGAAAATATAATGGCAGAGAGGATAATTGTAAATACCAGAGACTGTATAGGAAGATGGTGATTAATAGTAGGTAGATGGGTGGGGCTCTTAAAAAAAAACCTTTTAACTGACACATGAATGGAAAGTTATTTGATTATACATATGGTAATATGTTTGACTAGATTGACATGCACTTCATGCATGCTTTGAAAAACCATATTGTTGGAGGTTCTTCAAAAATCTTCAAATAGAACTACCATATACTTTAGCAATTCCACTCCTGGATATCTACCCAAAGGATATGAAAAGCAGAAAAGCATTTGCAATCCATGTTTATTGTGGCATTATTCACAATCGCTAAGACATGAAATCAACCTAAATGTCCCAAGAGCAAATGAATGGACTGAAAAAGTGTGGTATGTATACACTATGGAGTACCACTCAGCCATAAAACAGAGACCTGGCATTTGATAGAAAGTGGATAAGTATGGAAGATTTAATGCTAAGTGAAATAACCCAGCCTATGAAAGAGAGGCATTGTATGTCTCCACTCCATATATACCAAATGTTTGCACTTTAAAGCAGAAACTGAAAGATTGGAATGTATAAATTCAGGGAGGGAAACTGAGAATACTAGACACAGTGTTGAAGAAAGGTAGACAATGGGGTACAGGATGGAGGGAATCAGGGGGAAAAGAAGCAAAACATTTAATAGATACAAAAATGGAAAATTGTTGACAGTATGTATGGTAATGTTGATGATTGGACTAATATGCAGTATACTCATGCCTAGGCAGTCTATTTTGCATATTGTAAAGATGTACGGTAATTACATGTAAAAAAAAAAGAAGAAATAAAACAAAAGAAAAAACATATCATATGTTACAGAGAAGTATGATGACCATATCCAAATAAAAATTCATGCAATAATTTTTAAAAGATATTTACTGGCCTTCTGCTCCAGGTCAATGGTCTTCAAGTAGGGTCATTATGCTTCTAGGGAGCACTTGTAATGTCTGCAGAAATTTCTGTTGTATTAAATGGGGGAGATGCTACTATAGCACCTGGTGGATTGAAGACATGGTTACTGCTCAACATATTATAATGTAAAGCAGAGTTCATGCCACAATCATCCAACCAGGATGTTAACTGTTGTTATAGTTTGATCAACTGGACCAGGGAGAAATGTTCACATTTTGAAATGTTCACTCTGTAAGCTAAATAATGTGATTGAATGTATTAAAAAATGTAAATAAATAAATAGGAAAAAATAATTTGTATACAGTTTCTGCTAAGATAAGACCCTTACAAGAACTAATTTTATTTTTTTCAAATTTATTTTCTAAATGATATACAATTGAATGTATTTACTGTGCTCTGTACGGTTTGGGGATGTACACATACATTTTGGAATGGTTAAATCTAGCTACTTCATTGATACTTCTTGTCACATGGCTGTTATTGTGGTGGTGAGAACATCACTTGCAGGACTAGAAGTCAGACGAGTCACTGAGTGAGTGATGAGTGAATGTGAGCACCTGGGGCACTACTGTATTCCACTTTTTGAACACTGGGCATTTACACTACACTAATTTATTTATTGTGTTCCCTATATAGTTTACTTCTTCATTTTTTTTACTTCCTTCTTTTACTTCTTGATTCCCTCTTTCTCACGCTCTGCCATTTCTCACCCTCCTCCCACACTGTCTCTGATGTCCACAGTTCCTCTCCACGCTTTTATACCATCCAACATGTTTAACAATTTTTTCTCTCTTTAAGAACAGATTAACACCGGCTGAATGTAATTTTTAATTTATTTTTATATATTTAATCACTGTACAGTGTAAAACAAAGTATTCCCAGCATGAATACAGTGAGTATTAGACAAATCAAAGACATTACCATATGCATTATCATCAACAGGTAATTCTCTATTTTTGTATCTCTTAAATGTTTTGCTTTTTTTTTTCCTGATTCCCCTCCCCATCTTACTCAGCTCCTCCTGTATTGTCTCTACTATCTAGAGTTGCCCTCCCTGCTATTATACCTTCTGCTATTTCACTCTCTGCTATAGAGCACAGACATTCCGTATTTATTAAGCATGGACACACAATGCCTGCCTTTCATAGTGTGACTTGATTCACTTAGCATTAAATCTTCCATATTTGTCCATGTTTTTTTGTTTGTTTGGTTGTTTTTTTTTTTTCTTTTGGCTTGGTAGTATTCCATAGAGTATATGTGCCACATTTTTCCAATCTACTTGTCTGTTCTTAGACATTTGACTTGATTCTGTGTCCTAGCAATTGTGAATTATATTTTTTTACATTATAAGCTTTCATGGAAATGTTTGATACTTGTGTCCTAACATTTAGCTTAAGACTCACATGTTTTGTACAACTTTACAAAAATATTTTCCATATACTTTTGTTTTGTAAGCTTTTCATTTAAATTGGTTTTAGTTTTACGGTTTTTTTTTTTTTTTTTTGCTTTTTGAATTTTTTTTTTTTTTTTTTGCCTTTTGAACTTTTTTTCGTTACACACACATTAGCCTTGGCCCATGAAGGGTCATAATCACCAATATCACTGCCTTTCTTTCTTTCTTTTCTTTTTTTTTTTTCCCAGGGGAATGCAGTCCCCCACTACCACAAATTACGCAGCCGAGTTTCCCGCATTTGGGGAAATCGCAGAGGTCAGCACACCCGCAGTGCAATGGGTGAGCCTTGCCCTGAGAAAACCACCTTCGTGATCATGGTGTTTCCCCTGCCAGGTAAGTATACCAATATCACTGCCTTTCAACTCTACTTGTTTTTGAAGAGCAGTGTGGAACAAAACAACACAATTTTACATCAAGCACAAGGAAAAGTGATGAAATCAAGAAAGATGATAAGCACAAGCTATATGAGGCTAATGCCAGAGTACCATGGCATTTTACTTACAGTGAACATTTTGCATTAGATGGGAGGAGCACATCCTAAAGTGATAATAAAAGTATTGTAATAGTAAGTATATCAACTAGTAAAATAATCACTTATTATCATTATCAAGTATTATATATATAGTTACAGAACTATATGTGCTCTACTTCTGTGTGATTGACAGTGCAGGAAATTTGTGTACACCAGTATTACTATGAACAAGTGAGTAATGGGTGGTGCTATGATGTTACAACAGCTACAATGTCATTACATGATAGAAATTTTGAAAATCAACTCTAATCTTTATTTGTTTATTAAGGATTATATATTTAATTTTATTTATTGTTATTATTATTTTTTTTCTCATTTGCTATAGGGCATACACACTCATGAGAGTGAGAGAGAGAGAGTGAGAAAGAAGCCACCAGATATGGGACTCAAAGGGCAATCAACCATGTGGGAGTCTAGCGCCTTTAACCACTACACCACCTGCTGGCCACCATTAAAATCTTATGGAACCAACATGATAAACATGATCTATCATTGACCAGAATGTCATTTAAAAAAAAAAAAGTTTATTTTATTTATGGTAAGTAGCATGTTCATGATGGAGATCCAAGCTATCTAGTTGTATTTGTTAACGATAACATGTATGATTAAGTCACTACACAGTGTATTCTGGATGGGAAATTGCATTTTGTATGCTGTGATGATGTTCATTGAATGGACTGAGGTGGATATCATGCTTGGTAAAGTCTCTTTATAATCTAAATGATATATAGTGATTCAATGTATGAATAAGAATAAAAATTAATTAAAAATAAAATTTAAAAATAAATAAATAATTATTTAAAAAAAGAGTGTTCAAGGAGAGGAGAGACCAGTTTTCTTAGTGAAGGGAACCCAAGATCAGCCAACAGCTAGTTAAATTCTCAATTCATGAGAAAACTCAGTCACAGTAACAGTGACTCCCTCATTTAACTCACAGATGACTACAAATTCATGAGAAAATCTGTACAGTTCAGAGATATTTCCCACCATGAAATCACATTAATTAAGAAAAGTATTACAATAAACCATTTTCTGTTAAGATGGCTTGTTATGCAGCAGCAACTAACTGATACAATAACCAAAGTGAACAGAATGAAGGACAATTATAGTAATCTTCTGATTTGTATTTTTGGTCTTTTTTTCTTAATGTGAAAACTACATTCATATTACTCTGTTAGTCAAAGTTATGTAAGAGGATTGTACTAAAAAAATACTAACATGAGATTCCTTTCTAGGGAACCAGAAGGTAGAAGGATATGCACATTTGTAGAGAAATACTTGTGACCCAGAATTATATCCTGGATAGAAATTCAAGATTATTTGTGAATGATCCTTTGATCATGAAGATTGAAGAGCTATCTCAACTTAAAGGAAAAATAATATAGACTATACTGACAATGTTCATTCACTACCCCTTTGATGATTATGAGTTTAGAAAAGGAGATATTTCATTAGAGAAATGGAAAGACTTGTATATGTAGGCAGAAGATGAGAAGGTGGAAATCAAGGGAAGGAAAGAAGCAAAATATATAAGAAACAATAAATAAATAAAATCCAATATATAAATAAAAGAAACAAATATATTTCAATAATAAAACATTCAAACCAAAACATTCTTCACCAAAATTCACCAATTTTCTATACTATAATGAGCAGATCTAGAAAATGAAAGGGAAATATTTTGCACAGTAATACAATGTATAGCTTAAAACTTGATGCATTATATGGAAATACATCTCTGATTTTAAGGTCACAAAAAGAAAAATCATTTACTTATATTTGTCTTTCCAAGCAGATTCCACTTGAATATATCCAGGTAGTAATTAATTTTTGACAGTGACTATATAGGCACTGTGAAAACTGGAATGAATAAGAAGTAGGACCTTAAGGATCAGAATAAAATCCAAAGATAAGCTATAAAGCAAATTGTTGTGTTAAATTCTCCCTTTTCATGAAGAACAATTAAGATAGCAACATATCAAGAAATGGTGAATATGGAATTCAAAAACTGTGACCTCAGATTAAATGTAAACAAATATGAAAAAATTTAAAAATAATCATATAAATAAAATTAGATGCCAAGTGTAACTATTTTGTTCCCATAAGAAAAATACAAACTATGGATTTTAATAGAAGTAAAACTTACTCAGTTTATATTATCCGAAAAGGAATTCTTCAGAAATTCATGTTGCTTCATAAAATTAATTGGGATTTACAGCTATTTCTGATTTATGGATTAGGATAAACTTGTAAAAATACAATAACATAAAAGGAAAAATTTGTATAGATAACCGACAGAGTGAAATAGTGAGATACTTACAATGCGTAGAGAGGCTGAAATCAAAACTTTGAAGTTTTAGGAAATAGGCAAATGGAACAAGTTCTATTTCCAGAATCTGGTTAGAATTTCACCTTTTCTGCCTTAAATGCTTTGAGCCATGCTAAAAAGTGCAATTCTGCACTTCTTCAGTACCAGGGTAATTTATACATTGATAGTTTCCCTCCAAAAGAAACATCTCAGAGCTCTCTTTATGTCTTCATTCCTCAAGCTGTAGATGAAGGGGTTCAGCATGGGCGTGACCACAGTGTACATCACTGAGGCTGTTGCACTTGAGTGTGAGGTCTGGGTAGTAGCAGAACTAAGGTACACACTCATCATTGTAAAATAAAATAAAGAGACAACTGAGAGGTGAGAGGCACAGGTGGAAAATGCTTTGTACTTCCCCTGAGCTGATGAGATTGCATGGATGGAGGAAACTATCTTATAGTAAGAGTAAAGGATCCCAGCGAGGGGACCACCAGCCAGCAACACAGATGCAGAATAGATCACCATGTCATTAAGAAAGGTGTCAGAGCAGGCGAGATGAATAACCTGATTAAGTTCACAGAAAAAGTGGGGGATTTCCAGTGGTGTACAGAAGGACAGCCGCAATGCCATTAAGCTATGTATCAATGAAATCAGGACACTCATAATCCAGGACAACAGAGCTAGCAACACACAGAGCCAAGGGTTCATGATGATGGTGTAGTGCAGGGGGTGACAAATAGCTATGAACCGGTCATAGGCCATCACGGTCAGTAGAAAGTCATCTAATGATGCAAAGAGCATGAAAAAGAACATCTGGGTGATGCAGCCTGCATAGGTGATGACCTGGCTCTGTGTCTGGATGTTCACCAGCATCTTTGGGACGGTGGTGGAGGTGAAACAGATGTCAGCAAAGGACAGGTTGGAGAGGAAGAAGTACATGGGGGTGTGCAGGTGGGAGTCTGAGATGGTGGCCAGGATGATGAGCAGGTTTCCAATCACAGTGATCAGGTACATGGAGAGGAAAAGCCCAAATAAGAGAGGCTGCAATTCTGGTTCCTCTGAAAGTCCCAGAAGAAGAAATTCGGAAATTCTTGTATCATTCTCTGGCTCCATGTAACGGAAGTGACTACTAGGAAAAAGAAATTAACATGTCTATATTTTTTTTCAATCAAAATGGCTTGCAGAGTTGGCTCACAGAATTCACAATAATTACGTAATAGATAAAATGCTACAGCTTTTTATTTTTCATCAAATAAATTAATATTTAAATTTTTTCATTGCAAGGAGGTGAATATACTTGCTAGAGATACCGAGAAAGGAGGTAGGGGAGAAGTCACTCCCCCTATGGATCATTGTCATGCTACAATCGCTTCTTTTCCATCCCTCCTTTCTGCCTTGATTTTCAGCATGCATGCACACATACCCAGAGTGATTTTCAAGCATCCAGCACCAGAATTTGAACCATGGTTAGCATGTGAGATCCAGGTTCTAGAATCTGTATACAAACACTTGCACATCCATGTTTATTGGGGCATTATTTGCAATTACTAAGACATGGAACAAGCTCAGATGTCCATGAACCGAGGAATGGATTGAAATGGTGTGGCACATATTCACTACAGAATACTACTCAGCCATAGAAAAACAGTTAAGACCCTGGCATTTAAAAGAAAGTAGATAAATATGAAAGGTTTACTACTAAGTGAAGTAAGTCATATTATGAAAGAGAGGCATTGTATATCCCCACTTAATATATACTGAATGACTGCCCTCTGGCAGAAACTGAAATATTAGACTATATAAAGGCCTGGAGAGCAACTATGGAGATGAGAGATAGTGTGGGAGGATAGTGGGAAATGGCAGAAGGTCAGAGGGAGGGAATCAAAGGGGGAAAAAAAAGAAATAAAACATTTAAAAAACCCAAAATGGAAAAATATCTGTTGCAGATAGTAGGTAAGTTAACGTCTTAGAATTAGGCAATATACACTATATTCTAGATGGGGAAATTTGTTTTTGTGCGTTGTAATGAAATACAGTGATGAATTTAAAATGAAATTAATTAATTAATTAATTAATAGAAGAATCACTATGTCACAGGGATGGCCATTCTCTATATTTTGTGTATGGTTCCTCTTTCCTTTAGTACATCTCACCCTTCCACGGTATGTCTGATGGGAAATTTCTGTCCCATTCTCAATCTTTCTCCAAATTTTCTCATGCATTTGAGTAATATATACCATGTATTGTCTGGGTAATGAATGTAAGTTGCTAAGACACAAAAATACTTAACAATTATTGGAGGATATTATGAATTTATAAGGAAGTAATTGTATAACATATCACACATCAACAAGCGCTTTGGGGACCAGCAGATGGCACAGCAGTTCTATTGCTAAACTCCCACAATGTAAACTGTGGTTTGAGTCCCAGACGCAGTGTCTTGAAACTCACACCAAGCATGTGTGCGTGCCTGTCCAAGATCAAGGGAGAAGAACTGAGGGGAAGGGATTGAGGCTTGGCCATCCCTCCTGGGGGGTAACTTCTCAATTTCCCTCTCATTGTCTCTCTCTCTCTTTCTGGCAAGTGCATGCATTCTAAGGCAAAAACCTGAAAAAAATAGCAAGTGCTTTGAAAACAATGAAATTATGTAGAAGTGAGAGAGTAGCACGGAGACTATTAACTGCTAGAAAAGATGACATTTGAACAGAGACTTCAGGGAAGAGAGGGAAGGAGCTTCAAGGATATCTGGGGAAGCAGCCATCTTACAGAGGAAGTGAGCAAGAAGGAGAATAATGAAATGACATCAGGGGATGGTGAGGAATAAGGGACCTGCTGATGCTGAAGCTTGAGGACCCTGAGGGCTCTCCGGTTACATGCTTTTTTATCCCTCTAAAAATGTAGCCCTCTAACAGTGGAGACACAGAAGCAAGATTCCAGTTGGCAAGATTCCCAAGGATGTGTAAACTTGGAGGTACATTGTGATATGATCACTTTTGCTGTGTATTTATAGAAACATTTAAAAAGAGAGAATTACAGAGAATATGTAACCAAGCAAATAGAACAGATTCAAAATAACTGTGTTTAATAAAATGGAATGAAAATATAAATCAAAGAAAAACCTAAAAATGATGATATAATCACATCAACATAGGTCTCTAATTACAGGTTAAATTTAAAATATCTGGGTATAAAATATTAAAACATATATATATTTTTTTTTGGAGAGATTTTCACTGTAGGGTGCGTGCACTCGCCAGACAGACAGAGAGAGACATAGAGACAGAAAGCGAGAAATCACCCCCCAGGGGGGATGGTCACGCCGCAATCCCTTCTCCTCCATTCTCCTCTCGGGATCTTGGGCATGCACGCACACGCGCCCGGCGTGCGTTTTTTAAGCCATCGGGTCCGGGACACGAACCGCGGTCGACTACGTGGGAGTCCAGCGACATAGCCATTATGCTAACTGCTGGTTCCCAAAACATATATTTTTAAAGAAGAGTGAGGGAAACAATATCAAAGTTATCTAGTGTTAAAATTTTGTACCATATAAACAAATGGATTTAAATGTGCTTATGATAAAGGTACTTTTAGGTGAACACAAAAGGATATGCTGTGCAAGATGATAGAAAATAATCATTAATGCTGTGATGCTGCTCAGGGAAAAAATGTAAATTAATTCATTAAAAATAAAAATTAATAAAAAACAAAAAAGAAAATAATCATTAAGTTAAAAAAAGTTTTAAGCACAAAACACCTGTGGAATAAGTAATAAGAAAAACAAATGTGAAACACCCTGGTTTCTCTTCAGATCGTATAAATCTTTTGCCTTTTACTAAAGATTTCCGTGGAGATGTTCTTAAGTTTTAAACTTAATTGTAGGGACAAAGTCTGGAGTTGAGTATTATATCTCAGAGTTCAATCCGGAAGATCGAACCTCAACAGAAACAGAAGAAAATTAAGTACATGAGACTGAACTGATGAAACAGCATTCTATGACTTGACTAAAATATTGCTGCTTTTCTTCTAAGCTTTGTTGTCCGGTTTTAAGGATTTCTGTCCTGTCTTGAGCTGTCGATGGATTCATGTACCTACTATTTGAACAGAATACTAACCAGTTTCTAGGCCTTAAGTTTCAAGGAAATATCCTTACCAGTTCAAAACTGCTTTTTTTTGAAACCATCAGCTGAAGTTGCTATTGTAAGTAGTTAGATTACTTATGATATTGTGTGATCAACGAAATGGTGGGGGAAAAGGAACTGAAGATAACTGTAGACAGCAGAGATAGTGTAATAAGAGAGTGAAATGGGGCAGAGGGTCAGACATAGGGTAAATATAGTATGTTCATTCTACTCACTGAGGTTTATGCCTAAAGTCAGACATGGGTTCTTGTGTATGTAAATATCAGCTGTGCTTGCTATTGCAAATATTTAGACAAATTAAGTTCATTAGCAAATCAATTAAATGGGGGGGATAGGCATAGAAAGCAAACAGGGATAACAGAGACAATGGGAGGAGGGGTGGACAGGGCAGAGGGTTAGGGATAGGGAATCAAGGATGGCAAAAAAAGAAAAAAACTTGTTTGTTGATAACACATATGTTGATGTACTTGATTGAGCCAACAGACAATGTATTTTGGATGAAAAATTCATTTTGTATACTGTAATGATGTATAGCATATTAATGTTAAAAATAAAAACAAAAACAAAAAACAAACAAACAAAAAAAGCAATGAGGGTGTCCAGGAGGTAGCGTGGATGTTAAGAAAGTAAGTACACTAATGTGGCTCTGAGCTATGCTGGTTTGGGCTCTTAGGGGACCTCAAGTAAGCATTCCCAGCTTCCATGCTCTGGAATTCTTTCCTACAATACCTGCTGGGTTCTGAGACTTACCTTGCTGGGGTTGCAGAAAAGGTGGTGTCTATGTGGTAGTCTGAATTCCTCCCTAGATGGATGATCATAAAGAATAAAGCTCTGTTCTCAGAAAAAACAGCAGGAAGGAATGAAGCATCAGTTTCATAGCTAGGTTTAGGACTTCAAAAGAAAAGTCAACCATGTTCAGTCCTGCACAAAGACAACAGCACAGGAGATATTTACACTCCCAATAGCTGCTCCTTTGACACCTTTCTCTTCTGTAAATCCAGCTTCTAGGCACTTGATATCCCTATGGGAGGACAACGGTCTGGGCAGAAAGAAATATTTTCCTAATCACTGTCTTTTCCTAAGAGATCAAGTTAGAAGTCAGGTGAATACTGTCATTATTTATTATTCCTCCTTGAACTCATTTTTCTCCAGAGGTCTAACCTCCTTAGTTCTTTTGCCCAATCTCAAGTTAAAATGTTCTCCAAAGCCAGAGATTCTTAAGTAGGTCCCTTGGAACTGCAAAGTGTTAAATTGTGGTGAGGACACAGTACTTGATATCTAGCGAAAATTGCTATTCTTTCTTCATCAAGAGAGGGAACTGTGTTAAGCTATGAAACCTTGGACAGCTACCACAATCCATAGCTTCATGATGCTTTTGATGAGATAAATAGACATTTCATGTTCGGTCATATGGCAGCTCTACTCATAGAGTTTTGAGGGACCTTCATATTAGAGGTTGTACTAATTTACTTTTGCAACAACAGTGTAAGAGGTTTTCCTTTCCATCACAGCCTCACCAACGATTGTCAGTCTTTCTTTTACTGATCCTAATCATTCTAACTGGAATTCAATGGTATCTTGTTGTGGTTTTAATTTGCATTTCCCTTACAACAAGAGACTGAACACTTTTTCATATGCCTTTTGGCCACTCAAAAGTCTTCCTTGGATAGTCTTCTATTCTGTTCATTTGCAAAATGGGTGAATATAGAGGACTCAATGTGAAATGAAAACAGATTTTGAAAGATGCACACTGTATATCCCCAGTTAATATGTGCTGAATGTCTGCATGCTATGTCAGAAACTGAAAGATTCAAGACACAATAGTAGAAAGGATGAGTGTAGATACCAGAGACAATAAGGGAGGAGAATGGGTGGTAGAAAGTGGATGAGAGAGCATGAGTGGGGGGGAGAAAGGCAAAAAAAAAACTTTAACAAAAGAATGTAATTTTTTTTGTGGGAAAAAATGATGTTCTATAACTTTTGCTTCATAAAACTAAATATAAAAGAAAAATCAAATTCTGGTATTTGCTAGTGCAGCCTGAGTCATAACCAACAAAATGTGCACAGGCGCTCAGTGGGCGTGGGGACGCGGGGGCTGCTGCCACCCTCTCAGCCTGGCCTAGGGGTGTCCTGCGCGCCCTCCACGCAGGTGGGACGTCTTACAAACCGAACTCCGCAGCCTACATGCCCTCAACACCGCTGGGAGTGTCCATTCGCCTTCTACCAGCATGGCAATGTCCTTACAGTACCGCCAGCTGCTGAGTGACTACAGAGCACCAACCTTAGGCTACACCCAGGGAACCAGGAGCAGCCAGGTGCCCCACAGCAAGTATGGGGAGCTGCCGGTCATCATGGAGGAGCTGGGGAAGGAGATCAGACTCACCTATGCGGGCAGCAAGCACGCCCGGGAGAGGCTGAAACGTTAGAGGGCTGGTTCGCAAGTGCTTGGCAGAGAGGGAGCAGAACGCCAGATCCTAGCCTTGGCCAGCTTCTGGAGCCTTCCATCTCTTCAGAAGATGAGAAGTTACAGGTCATCTGCTCTACTCAGAGGAAACTCTCGTTTTCAAAATGGTAGCAGTTTGGTTCTCCTCCATGGTTCACTAGGCTCTAAACCTACCACTCGAAGGTTGAGAAAGGATTTTGCGGTTAGTTAGGGTTGCATTTTAAGTAGTTAGGAACTACCCAGGTTTCGCTTTTTATGAAGTGTTGATTTCAGATATGCAAGTAAAGTTACCTTACAGCAAACTGGAGTGAGTTTGCCTCCAAGGTACCAGTGTCTCCTTTTCATTTTCTTTTTAAAATACATGATGTTCCCAAGTTGGTCTTTATTTATTTCAGAAGCTAATACACCTCTAAGGATTTGTTTCTAAGGCGTAGGGACAGCACATAGCCTCCCGTATAGTGTAACTTCTGCGTAAGGTAACTTCTTTTTTGCTTAAGTATTTGCATGACTATTAGTGCTTTGAAGTCAACTTTTAAAATGCACAAGTTAGGGAACCAGCAGTTAGTGTAATGGCTATGTCGCTGGACTCCCACGTAGTCGACCGCGGTTCACGTCCTGGACCCGGTGGCTTAGAACTCACGCTGGGCGCGTGTGCGTGCGTGCCCAAGATCCCGAGAGGAGAATGGAGGAGAAGGGATGGCGGCGTGACCATCTTCCCTGGGGGGTGAGTTCTTGCTTTCTGTCTCTATGTCTCTGTCTGGCGAGCTCACACGCCCTATAGGGAAAACCTCTCAAAAAATATTTTTTTTTAATTAAAAAAAATATGCACAAGTTATATTAAGTGGGGACATACCGTACAAACACAAGAGGTGGATGTGAATGCCAGATGTGGTGTATGTGGAGCAGTGGGGGCTGGGGAAGAACATTTGGAGGAGGGATAGGAAGTGTGTCAATTTCATGCATTGTTGACTTTAGCCAGCCCTCCAAAATGCCATGGCATTGGAAAGTTATTTGTAAATTTGCTGTTCCGTGCAAGAATTCCTGTGGATGTGCAGTAACTACCTGAACCTTTTTCTAAATTTTTAAAAACAATTCTTTTATTTAATTTTATTTATTTATTTTAATTTTACCAGACAATTTGACCAGAGAGAGAGAGAGAGAGAGAGAGAGAGAGAAAGAGAGAAAGAAAGCCCAGGGCTGAGACTCAAAACACAGTTGGACATTCGGAAGTCCAGCGACCTTAACCACTATGCCACCTACCAGTCCCACTACCGGAACTTTTCATGGCACTAAAATCATTTGAAAAGCAAAAATATAGCATAAAGGGGAGAGGAATAGGGCCAACAGATGGTCTGGAGGTTAAGACATCTAGATTCCACATGGCCTACTGTATGGTTTGAGTTCTAACCCCCCAGCATTACAGAAAACGCACTGGGCATGTGTGCTTACATGGCCCAAATCTCTAGAGGAGAATGAAGAGGGATTGCAGAGTGCCCATCCCTGCTGAGGGGTGAATTCTCACTTTTTCTCTCTGACTCTCTCTAGCAATTTTATGTGCCCTCTAGAAAATTTTTTTAGATAAATAATTTTTAAAATAATTATTTTATTTAACTTTATTTATTTTATTTTAAATTGACCAGACAGGGACAGAGAGAGAGAGAAGGGTTGGGGGAATGAGAAAGCAAGCCACCAGGTCCAGAAATTGAACCATGGTTGGCCATGTGGGAGTCCAGTACCTTTAACCACCATACCATCTGCCAGCCCCTCGATAAATAATTGCAAATAAGGAAGAATTGGGACCAGCAGATGATGTAATGGTTACTTCACTGGATTCCCACATGGCCAGCCATGATTTGAATGCTGGACTTGGTAGCTTGAAACTTATGCTGGGTACATGTGCATGTGTGCCCAAAATCCCAAGAAGAGAATGGAGGAGAAGGGATTGTGTCATGGCCATCCCTCTGAGAGGTGATTTCTTGCTTTCTGTCTCTCTGGTGAACACATGTATTATTTCTGTCATTTTGCTATTTGATTTCTATATGCCTTATAGTTTATTTTTCTTTCCTATATTGATTTTTAAATAATCAGGGACCGGCTGATGGCGTGGTTGTTGTGGGTGCTAGATTCCCATATGCCCAACTGTGGTTCAAGTCCTGGACATGGTGGCTTGCTTTCTCACTTTCTCTCTCACTTTATACCTCTCTGGTCAAATTCAAATAAATAAATAAAGTTAAATAAAATAATTTTTAAAAACTTGTTTAAATCTTTTAATAAAATAATCAAATATTTAAATTTAAAAAAATTAAATGATAAGAGGACAT